ATATATATTAAAGTAAAATTATCGAAATAATTCCTTAGAATATTATTAATGTATTATTAAAACGTTACCGGTATTTTTAATAATCCGAAAGGTATAATTAATTATTTAAATAACCTATATTAAATTCGAAATATTATTTTCCCTTCCTTTCCTTTAATTATATAAATTTTATAGAATATTTATATTGTATTTATTTTAGTAAGCTATTTTACATTAGCGATAATTTTAAAGGTTTTTTTAATTAAAAGTAATAGGTACCGGTTTATTTTAATAATAATATTAAGACTTTTATAATTATAATAAAATTGAAGACTTCTTTTTAACTTCTTAATAAAGAGAATTAATATAATAGGAAATAAATTATTAATACGAATAAAACCCTTATTAAGAAAAGTTTTAAAGGTTTTCTTTAATATTAAGAATTCTTTTTATAATATATTATAAAGGTAATTATAAAGGAGAAGTAGCTCCTTATTATTTTTATCTTTTTCAAATTCATTTTTATAATTAATATTTAAGCGGTTAAAATTGATTTAATTAATTTCCTTTTATTTCCAAACGAATAAGTAATTATATATTTCTATAAGGATTTTTTATATTTCTTCTTTTATTATACCAACTTTAGGTTTAAAGGCCTTTTTAATATTTTATAAATTTATTACGAATATTATTAATTCTACAACTTACCGGCTACTCTTTTTCCTAATCCTATTTATTATAGCTACGAACGTGGTTATTAAATAGTATATTACTTTTTTAAATTCCTTAGACTTTAAAGAAAAATTCTTCGGAAAATATCCTAAATACGAGATTTAATAACCGGTTATTCCGTATTAGAATTTATATTTATAAGGAATAGAATAAGCCTTTATGATAATGAATTATAATTTCCTTAGAATAATAGGAAATTCTAATTTAGAAATTATATAAGTATAAATAATAGATTTATACTTATGAATATTTACTTTAAAATTAATAATCCTTTCAACCTCTACCGCTTCTATTTTTATTAAGGTTTTTCGTACTTATTTTTTAAATATAGGTATAACGGGAATTTTTAGCTTTTTAATAATACTTTTACTAATTACGGTATAATATTAATAATTTTTATTAATGAAGGTATAGAAATAATTTTTATTGTTGATAGTAATAAGTATTTTAATAATATTTATTTCTATAGGTCTTAGGAAACTTTTAGTTCCTACTTCCTTATTTAGTATTTTAGAATATTCTTTTATTCGATTTTATAAAGGAGTTACTTTTTTTCTAATTCTTTAAAAAGAAGAATATTTATTACTATTTTTTAATATAGGTTCTACTTTAAATTTAATTTTAATAGATTTGATATTAATAGGGAGATATTATATTAATTAATATATATAATTACCCATTATATATTTATTAATTCCGTAACGAAAATAGAAATTTAAAGTACGGCGCTTATCTTTTTCGTCCGAAAAGATTTATTTAATACGTTTAGCGTCCTTATTATTCGGGTTGCTCTTTATTTTAATATAGTTTATTATGATATTATTATTTATATTTTTAGGGTATTTAAAGGTAGGAGTAAAATTACGCTAGGAAAAGGAATTCTAATAATAATTATTGTATTTTTTATTATTACCCTTAATATTATGGAAAGTTTTACTAATTTTAAATTTTTATATAATATTTTTCAATTATTCGATATAAAGGTCGTAAATTTCAAGTATACAGATTAAAATTAATTAATTATAGAAAGTATTAAATATAGAAGTTTCTAATCAGGTTAATTTAGAATTATTTTCTTAAGTAAGGCTTCTAATTTTCGTAAGGTTTTTTTCGAATGTAAGGAACTAATTTAATAAAGATTAATTCTTTTTCTATTGTATAATATATAAGCGGGTTACGATTAATTTCCTTTCATTTTTATTATTAAAAATTAATTCGAAATAATCGAAGAAATCTTCGGATTTATAAATACTATTAATATTATTATAATATTAAAAAACTTCTACTTTAATTATTTTATTGGCCGGGAAGGCATTTAATAATATTAACCAACCCGATTTATTATTAATAATAATTCCCGCCGACCTCTTTTTTTCGTATATAAAATATAGTTAGGTAATATATAAATTGAATATAAAAGGGGTTTTATTTTATTTCAATTAATAAATATTCTTATATTTAAAATTATAATAAGCAATAAGTTTTTATATAATACCGATTATAGTATTCGGAGTAATAATAATTATTATAATAATTATATTAATATTAAAGGGGTTTCATTGATTTTAAATAGTAAATTATATATTAAGTATTATTTTTACTATTTGGGCGAATACGTCGTTAGTAAGTAACGTCTTAGCGAAACTTTCCTTTTCTTGTACGAAGTATATAATTTTTCTCCTTATAATTTCTTTTTATTTTACGGCTACGGCGGCTATAGTAGCGGAAAATTCTATAAGAATTTTAATTACAGCTATTTAAATAAATAAACCCTATTACTATTCTTATAATAGTTATTTATCTTGGTTTATTAGGTCTATTATAATAGAATTTAATATAATAGGGATAATATAATTAATATAAGTATTAATTATATAGTTTAATTGAAATTTTATAAAAAAAGAAAATTCTATTGAAAAGGCGGTTTTATTAGAGATGCGAAGTTTTAATAGGGGTTGTATAAATATAATTACAGCGCTTTATAATAGTTCTAATTGATAATTAAAGTATTATAGCCCGGGTTTTAGCCCTATATTATTAATATTCCCCGGATAAAATAATTAACCCGGGAATAGGCGTAAAATTACGCTTAATATATTAGAAAGTATATTAAATATATTAGAGAAACGATATTAAAAGTATAAAAATAATAGGCGGCGTAAATTAATAAGAAGAGGAGGGAATTTGATTTCGAATTAAGAGATAAAATCATTATTATTAAAAGGTTTTAATTCATAACGATTAAATTTAATAATAAATTCGATTTTCCTAGTATTTACAATTATTATAAAGTTATTAAAAAGTAAGGCATTCCTACTATTTAAAATTATTAAAGAATTAGAAAAGTATTAATATTTTTTATATAGATCGTTTACGAAAATATAACGATAATCTGCTCCTGAAATAAACATTCGAATATTCCGGCCTAATGAATATAAACGAAAATAGAAATTCCGAATAGGAAATTAATAAAATTATAATATTTAAAATAATTAATAGAACGTTCTTTTATTAAGTAGATTAGAAAAATTAAAATTCTAATTTAAAGTAATATTCCGCTTCCGATTTTAAATATATACCGAAAACGCTTCAAAACTTTTAAAAAATTAACCTGGATACCCTAGGCCCGCCCTAATAATTAATAAATTAATTGAATAAAAATATAAAATAGTATAATAATAACGAATACCTTAAAGAGGAGGGATTAAAGCGTTTTTAGCGTATTATAAGGAATAAATAAATGTATTATATAATTATTTAGTAAAATTCGCGGACGAATTTTTTATATAGGGGGGGGGTAATATAATAGTGTTAATGGATTGGGTTTAGGTATTATATACGAAGTGGCTACTAGAATGAAATATATAGAGGATTCTAGGTATAGTACAGTTCAAAGGATATAAACTATTTAATTAATTATATTAAAATTAATTATAGGGTAAATCTTAGTACGTATAGGGTTTATTTTATAGGTAAGGGGGATATAAATAAAGGGATTAGTTAATAGCGACCTATTTATAGGTTCCGCTATTATTCGTATAATTAAGGTATTTATTTGGGTTTGTACGCTTGTATTTAATTCTCTTTTTTTTGTTTTTTTTTACTTTATTTAAAATCTTCTATTATAAATGGAATTTTAGTTTTGCCTTCGATTCCCTTATATTGTAACCTTATAATAATCGTTAATATATATTAATTTAAAGAATATTAAGAGTTACTATAAAAGTAAAATATTATTAATTTTAATTGTATAGTATTGTAAATGGATTTAATTTATTCGTTTTAATTATTTCTATCGATTTATTATAGCGTATTTAGATTTTAATATTGCTATGTGGATAGAAAAGGCTATATATTATTACTTCGCCCGTTAAAAGCGTATAATACGTATTAATTCGAAGAATAGTAAGAACTATTATAAAAATAATAAAATATTATTAATTTTAATTATACGGCCTTATAAATAGCTTTAATCTATTCACTTTAATTTCTTCCATTAATTTATTATAGTATGTTTCAATCTTGAGGTTGCTACGCTAGTAGAAAAGGTTGTACGGTATTATTAATAGCGTAAATTATTATAAAAGTAATACAGCCTAAGGTGGGCTTCTTAATATTATAATATATTATGATATTTTGATTATATTATATATATATAGTTAAATACGTGCGATTTAAACTATTAATTTGAATATTTTACTATCTTTTTTGCTTATATTTTGGTAGAGATATGGATTGTTGAGGTTTTTGAAAAATATACTACTTGTAAGGTATATGTAAAAAATCCGACTCTCAAAGGGACGATGAGAGTCGGTTGGCTTGTGTAAGCGAGGCCCCCAGAGGGTGGACTCCACCAACCTAACCGACGAGTACATCCGACTATCTACCTATCCCAGCAATGTAGGCGAGGTACCCTTCCTTTGCTGTGAACTATGAAGTGCCGTGCATGCGCCTGTTCCCCTTTCCCTTTCCATGACACCCCATCCTTCCCCGGATATAATGTACCCCGCAAAAAGCAACCGTTCGTGAGCCAATCCGCCCACCTGCATCCGGCCATCGTACGCAGTATGTAGTGGTATTTCGGTCCTTCAAGCCTGCGCCGCGCCAACTGTGCATAACCAGGGCAAAGGGCAACCAGCCCAATCGCTTTCGTGTAAAGAAAAAGAGAAAAACAGATGGGTTCTTCAGTAGCTACAGTTCACCCCTGGTTTGTTCGTCAGCGCGGGACTTCACTACGCACTCTGCGCAACTCAACCACTATTTTACCAAATTTAATGCAAGGAACTAGTATCAACCAGATGCGTTTTGGATACTTCATACACTCTATCATACACTCTATCCAATTTTCCGTTTCGAATGTGGTTGTCCTGTTGTTTTTCTGTGTACTTTTGCAGACCTCTGTCGCAAGAACCGCGCTAACAAACAAACCAGGGCTGAACTGTATACCCATCCACACCTCCGAACTGACCCTGGCCAGCATTAGCACCTGCATGGTGGTGACCCATCATGTTCCCATACTCCATAGCCGAATGGTGATGCAGAAGCCCATGTGCTCCATCAGCCGTCGGGAACGCTGCAGCGAACTCCGCTGCCGCGGCCACCGCATCATCCGGGTGAGTCGAGTGGTGACCATGGTGAACCGACGGGCTTGGACTGGCGCCCCAGAACATGCCGTCGAGATCCCACATCCCGCCCTGGTCCAGCATACCCATCATGCCCAAGCCTTCGACGGGCTCCAGGCCGATGGGACTCATGTGTAGCTGCGCCGAATCCGGTGACCCCATGAGCAAGTCGTTGTCGATGTGCATGGTGCCGTTGACAGAATGAGGGCTCTGCGATCGCCTCTGCTGTAGTTGGTGCGCTACGGCACCCTGTGCCTGGATGACTCTGCTGGCCTCGTACATGCGAAGAACCACCTCCCTGCTCCTGCGAGCAGCGAGTGACCACTCTTCCATGGCCTCAAGGAGCTCCAATACCGCCTCAATCTGCTTGAGCCACTCAGGGACGCGTGGGTTACCCCATTGCCAAAAGATGGAGACAAGAGGGACCATGGCAGCCTGGTAGAGGAACCACACTGCGTTCCAGCCGGACATCTGGTTACGTGTCCATTCACGACCAATATCCTCAATGGTCGCCGCAGCAAGCTCACGGCACGTCTCAATGGCGGCCAGGTCAGAGTCACAGGCCTGGGTGTGTGGGTTAAGACCCGATGAGGCCATGGAGAGGAGGACTGGGCGGTGAAGGAGCATGCGAAGGTTCTGGTACCGCCATTTCATGATGCAACGGGCCATGTAGAGCGGCTCAGCGCATGGGTCCGTGGTGCGCAGGAGCCAGGGTAGGTTGTTGTACCAGGCAACGAGCTGCCCGTCAAGATTGCAGCGGTCTTCGGTACGCAGCAAAGGAGAAATGGCGAGCATGTCTTGGATCTGAGTGGCGATTTTGCAGAACTTGATGTTTTCAATGGTGGGGAGAATACCGGCGTGTTGAGACGAGTCCCGACCGGCATTCACACCGAACTCGGGAGGGCGAATGTTGATGGAGGGTCCCCAACGGCCAAAAGAGGGACGCCCCATAGTTGTAGTGGCCCAGGTGTCGAGGCAGAAAAGAGCCCACCATGTGCGTCTCCTGGTCTCGGCAGCGACCATATCACTTCCTCCTTGGACAAGACTCTCACGGTGAAGACCGAGAGCGCTCGCCATGCGGATGGCGGCACCCAAAACGGCGTTGGCCATGTTAGGTCGGTTGATGTAGTGAAGATAGTACCCGCCAATGAGTGCCAATGCTTGGACGGTTTCGATATGGCTGCTGCCAAAAGAATCCATGGGAAGATGCTCCATGGCGCGGTTATAATAGTTGACGTGGTTGTAATCGTCCGACTTCATTGCGACAATGCTACCCATGGCAAATACCATGTTCAGCAAGGCTAACCACGGTGCGTCGAATCGTTGACCTTCAAGATAATCGGCACGGAAGGTTGTCTCGTCGAGCATTGGGATGAAGACGTGGACTCGCTTGAAGTAGGCATCGATAAGCGTCTGTCCCTTCCATGACCACAGGATCCGCTGGGGATCTTTTTGAGTCGATGACTTCTGTCTGATGGCCGGGAAGTTATGAGAAATCTCGACACTGTTGAGCGGGGCGGCCAAGGAGCTCCTCAATCCCGGTTGAACCTTGAGCATAACCATAAGAGCAGCCTTGATGGACGAGGCTCCGAGATAAGAAGCTTGTCTGTCCACCGAGAGTGATAGTGCGTTGATATCGTCCGCCTCTGCAGGGATGAGGTCCCTCTCCCGGCGTTCCTCGTCCCACTCTGTATCCCGGGTCGGAATCTGTTCCAAAATGTTTTCAGACTTGGTTGGTGAGTCCAAGTCGGACATCGGTGTTTTGTTCATAGGAGGCGACGGTAATCCGTTCGCTGTGCTGTCCGGGACGGGCCGGTCTAGGAGGTTAAGGAGTTCTTGCCTTGACAAGGGAAGTAAGGCGTGGGCTTCTTGGTTAGGATATAGTCGCTTCAGAATTGATCGGCATTCTTCGAGGGACTGGGAGAGGGCTTCGAGTGTTTTGCGCGAGGGGATCACCCTTTGACGGTGCTTGTCATAGAAACACCGTTTCGGTGCCCGGCTTGAGAGACATTGGCCACATGGTTGTTGACCATCACATCGACTAGGGCACTCAAGTTAGATTAATGATGAGGTTAATCGGCACTCATTGACTTACATCTTCCGTCTTTTGCACTCAGCACAAGCATGAGGAGTAGTTATCCTCTTGGCTGCGCCATTACTACTGGACTTGACACTATCTCGAGAGTCAACGGACGGCTTTCGTGGTGTTACTCCTTGGACTGAGTTTGCTCGTTAGTCATGGACCCCTTGGCTGGGTAAGGTCGTCAACTTACATGTGTGAAACATGCCGCCTTGTGTGGGTATCGAAATTGATGGTGCCATTATGAAAGCTTTGCTGATCAGAGGTTGTCTGAATAGGGATACAGCTTGTACAAGGCCGGTAAGCCACTGGTAGCTCGAGGAAAGATATAAATGTATGGGTTGCCAAGCAAGGCCGCGGATATCAACCGGCGAGTTCGTGGAAGTGGCGAGACCTTGATCACATGAAGTGAAAAACACGTGTGGGCTCAGTGTTTGATGTCGGATCTTCGCCAAAGATAATCAAGATAAAGATATATCCTGGGGGACGACGAGGGTTGGGCGAGACCGTGAGGAGCGTATGCAGACTTATATATTTACATTGAGCTGAGTTGGGGATATGTTGAATGCACTACACCTCTCCTCAGCCACAGGTTGTGATAAGAACGCGGAACTATTCCATCTGAATGTACAACTTTGTTCTGAGGAGCCATGAGAAAGGGGTATCCAAGAATCACCAGTGAATGAAACAGTACCATCATTGTTTCCAAGGACGAAAGCTGATTGTGGGGTGAGGAAGATTGGAAAGGGACCGGTGGTATGCTAAGGTCGTATGTGGAGAAGTTTGGACGCGGCCCCGTCAATCTTGTTGACAGGGTGAAGGAGGTATAGGATCGGGGAGTGCACAGCTCCGGTACTTTGCCCTCGGGCGCCGGTATAACTTGTCAAGTGAGGTATCTCGATGCTAGACTGGTCAATGCCGTGTTCAAGGCCGACATCAAGCTAAGGAATAACAGGGGAGCCAGGGGCAAGGCTAGTTGACCAGGCACGGCCTGATGCATGTACCAATCAGGGCTAACTGCACTACATACCTGAAGGGTCATGGTATATGTGGTCCGGTATCACCCTGTCCCAAGGATTTGAAGCGTGGAAAAGTACCTTTTTGGAGAAGAGGGACGCCAGTCAGTACGTACTCTGTCGGGAATACCCAAGCATTCCTCAGTGGCGTCGTTTCAACGCCAAAGCCGGGGTGCAATAAGGTCTGAGGGCGTAGAGAGGGAGGTACCGCAGAGTACTGCTTTTCACAGCAAACTGTATGACCCACAGACTATAGGCTTGGGGCATTGTTCTAACACCTCTTCTCTGTTTATGACGCAGGCACCATATGATTCCGAGTTGGGTTAGGTGAGTGGTGCTTTCAGCAGTCCATCGCTTGACCAAGAGCTATGTAGTTCCAAACGGTACGCTAAGCTAAGGCAATCCGGCCGTGTGTAGAGGTGGTTTGGGGAAGCTTCGTTACGAAAACCACGGTGCTCCGAGATGAGAACCCAGAGGGGTCCCAACCCTCCAAGCACACAGACTCTTGCCCCTTTTCTGAAGCATCAAGTCCTCCGATTCGTCTTGACCCTGAACCCTTGATCAACCTGTTGTGCGAAGTGGGAGTGAACATGTGTGTGAAACGTGCTTTGTATGTACAGCGAAGATCTCTGTAGGGGGCCGTGTGGTGTGAAGGACGTTGGATTTGGAGAGAGGGGAAGATGGGACCGTCGGCCGTCGGCCCCAACACGATGTGACTGGAGGCCGAGATGGTGAAGATAGAACTGCCTCGGTGCCAGCCGCTTGGTTCCGATCGGGCCAGACAGGGGTGGAGTCCGGGGTGGATGAAGTTGGAGTGAGAGTGGGCACTTGGCAGTTAGCCGGGGTATCGTGATCAGGAGTGCGTAAGGAACGGAGCTAGAAGACGGAGCAGACGCGCCAACGAAACGGAGGTAACAGCCTCCTCAAGCTAAATGATCCTTCCAATAGCTTTCGGGTTGCTGGTCAACCCTTCCAGCCCTAGAGGACTCAGGTTATGAGAACTGAGGTTGCTGTGGCGAGGTAAGTCTCCTTATTCCAAACGTGCCCTTTAGAAGATCTGGAATCAAAGTCCATCAACACTGTGCTCCTGAGGCAAGTAGGGGGAAGAACATCGGACCGAGAACTGAACAATGATAAAGGTAACTTTGCCTTTTTCACAAAATCCTATAGGCCTCTCTGTATATGGTACATCTCGCAAGAGGAAATCTTAGCCACCTCGTAATTCTTCCCCGACTTGGAGGTCATCGTATCACGAATTATCAAAGAGAATTGGAGCTCGTATGGGGACTGAGTTGAAGGCTGGGAGAGGAGACAAACTGCAGACAAAGAACCAAGCACATTGACAAGCGAGAGATGAGAAATAGCGTACCCGTAGACTATTTAGATGGACTGCGCGTTCAGAGATGTGCCCATGTAGAGATAGTTTGTGAAGACAAGGTAAGGAGAGACTGAGTCTCTTGGCTACCGCCCGCCGCATCTTGTCGTCTCCAGAGTGGCAATGGTAACTACCGTTGTGTTACTCTCGCCAAGGTCCGCAGGCGCTTGACAGGAGGATATGCGCACCGCAAAGCGCCCTGGACACGGTGGATACATATCACGTCCACTGGACAAGCGTCAGGGTGAATCTTACGGTATGTGGGCCAACACCTGTCGATGTCGAACGTAGAACTGGAGAGATGGCCCTTGCAGTGGCCAGAGATATCAGTTTTGTTTATCCCCAGACTATACCTTGTTAGAGTGTAAGTTACCATCCACGGTGGAATATGGAATACGTACTCATAGTAGTAGTTGGACGGATAGCATCATGGCTTCAGTCCATAAGATGGGCGTAGTAAGATGGATGTAGTTACTGGCTGTGCCGCTGACCAACAGCCGCTTGAAACGAAACAATCGGGTACCCAAGAAACGTCCGTTTAACACCGTTTGGGTGGTAGACGAGGCAAGGGCCCATGTTTGGCTTGGTCAAGGCCCGAGGGGCCTGAGGGGAGCTGTCAACGGGTCGACGGGTGGGGCAACAGCAGGGAAAAAACTCTGCCCCTCCGACGATCTTGAAGAACATTGAGTCTCGCCGTTTTGTGGTTGATGGCAGGCGTCAACGCCGGCGGGGTGCTGTAAATGCAGTTGCACTTATGCAGAGTTGACACTGGGTTCACACACACATACCTGTAGGTACTTCATCTCCTGAAGTAAGCGGTGTTATGGAGGGCAGCGAGGAAGCTGACATCGTATGTACCTCTAGGATGCCATCGTCAAGGTGAAGGTGAAAGGAGACGGGAACCAGCGGTCTGATCGAATGTGACGTTTGCTGGTCGATGCCCTGGATGCCCTGGAGCCCGAGTTGCTGGGTATGCGTGCCGGGCTGGGATATGGATGTGGTAGAATGATTGATGGAACGCCGACGCGTGTCGAGATTCTTCAAGACAACTGAAGCGAGATCAAAAGGGACTCAATTTCTGAAATTGGAGGGCCAGGCCATGGACGTCAGAATGAGCCTGCCGTCTTCTCGCCTCGTCTCGAACTCATGGAGATTGGAGAAAAACTTGAAGTGGAAAGCCGAGAGGCCCAGGGTCACAGAGGGCAAGTCCGTTTCGATTTTTTCTTGGCTCTTTCCACTTTGATGTTAGAGCGAACGCGATTACGTATTTTCCCACTTCCACCATCCAACCAGATGCGCATAAGCTCCCGGTCTGGAAAGACGGCAAGCGAGCCATGGAAGGTACCGACGCCTTGGCTCTCGGCTTTTCCGAGAAGTTCACCGAGGTCCTGGCCGCCATGAATTGCAGTCGCTTTTGGTGGTCATTCAGTTGCATTCCGGCCTATTTTGATTGTTGGTAAGCTGTAAAGTAACCTGGGAGCCTGGGGTGCAGCATGTCGTGATGTTTAATATTCAACTGACGAGAGTTTGGGGTGCCTTCAATTTGAAGGTTGAAGACGTGTAGTGATTCCCTGGTCACCCGGCCAAAGCCTAGAGGTAGCCCTATGGCGACGCCGGACCGCCGCCGACAAGCCGTTGAGGGCTGAAACTCTGGCTACCCGACTACATCAGTGACGGCCCGGGATCGACGTCACAAAACCGAGACGTTCATCCTGTCGTCTGGTATTGATCAGGTTAGCGTCCGCTGTTCCGTTTCGGGCCGCCGTGAATGACTGCTTCAACCCCCTGCGATTGACGATCGCAGTCTGAAAAATGAATGGAATTGAAGAAGAGAGGGTATATTGAAGTCTCTTCTGAGACACGTCAAAGCGTCAACTTTTCCGAAAACCAATGAGTGAAGTTCTGTGCCTGGAGGATGGTGGCCTGCCACGAGGTCCGAGACTCGGATGATGTCAAACATGAAGGGTGTGGCTTGAAGATGGAGAAGTGAAGACTTCTCCCGCTTTTGGTGGTCTGTCCGTACATCCGATTGGTTCATTTCAGCCAAGTCGCAAGACACCCCCCAAGTTGGCCGTTACAGTGTGGCAGAATGGCACGTGCGTGGTGGCTTGTACCTTTTACTTTCCAGTTGACCCCAACCCGACCTTCCAACATCAGGACATCACCTGTCATATCGACCTCGCCGGTCAATAGTCCGGCCTCGCATTGAAGCGAAAATGGTCGAGGGTACAACAGCTCGCACATGGACACGATCAATGCACATGTGGCCTCTCATCCTTGGCTGGAAGCCGGAACCCGGATAAGGATGGGACAGCTTCGCCTTGCAGAGGTGCCTATGTTATCCTGCCGTCTCGACTCTCGAATTCATCTGGCAACGAAGCAGAGGCCGCCATTTTGTTCATGTGTGCAACAACCCAGCTGGCTTCATCATTTCCACTATACCTTTGCCATTATAGACCGTCCTTATCCGCCCCATGCCCATAGATGCCCTTCGCACAAGCAGGGTAGAGACGGTATGGCAGGAAGACATCCATCCTTCTTCGTCCGCTGAAGAAGTCCAACCAGCCGCCCGACTTCCAACTTCTGGTATTCCAATACTTCATCCGAGCCGTGTTGACGTGTCACGTCTGGTCGAACTCGAACACAGGTACTGACTTGCTCAACGTGCATAGTCTGGTCCTGAGCGGCTCCGAGAATTGGCCTCTCGAAATAGCATGGTTGGCTTCTCAATTTCGAACACTAGATTGAGCATCAACTTGGTGCCTGAATTCTCAGAGAACGCTGTCGAGAACTGTCCTCGGGAGCCTAGCACCGATAATTCTGACCGGCTGTCTGAACACACCCCCTCCGGTCATTGGGAATCCTCAGCAAATGGCTTTGGTAAAGTGTTGGTCTCGACCGAATTGGGAGACATTCACATATGATTTCTTAACGATGCATCAAATTGTCCGCAAACATCCATTATCCCACACTTAGTGATGCTGAATAATCCGATTTGGCCATTTAATTTGTTACTTTTTCGGCCGTGTTCTTTTGCGTTCAGAAGACCGTTTCTCAAGAAAACGGTCGAATGAATCCTCCCTAGTATCCATTCAGTCCCCGGCCCTAGGGCCCGGGTCTGTTACCGATCTGGCCCCTGGACTATCGTATCAGGAGGTGCTTCTGGAAGACTCGCCCACCCTTCCGTTCCTCCACCCTTCCGTTCCTCCACCCTTCCGTTCCTCCACCCTTCCGTTCCTCCACCCTTCTGTTCCTCCACCCTTCCGTTCCTGACCTTCCTCAACCCTTCAAATTCCAAGCTGCCTTGCTGTCTCCTGTCTCACACGTGTGGAATAACTGGGAAACAAACATACTCCTACTCTCGCTCGGTCCTCGACGAAAATTCGTTCGTATTGCAAGTTGGCGTGTTTCAAGCTTTCGTGATTCCTCAACCGCCGGCTAAGTCCGCATCCCTCGTCCGCCGGGCGATCTGGTTACCATGTCCGTCAAGCCCGTGCGCTCAGGGTGGATCGCATGGACGTTGACAGGCCAGGTCAGGTCACTAATTACTTCGTCGACAGACTTCCATACTTCACCGCCTTGGTTTTTACCTTGTCAGTTATCGTCAGTCATCCCAAAGACAATCATGAACTGTTGATGGCACGTTGGCGTGCCTACAAGAAACTCGTACCGGTCCGTCGTACGGTTCTGTACCGTTATATGGCTACTGTGGTGTTTCTGTATGGCGCTCTCAATATCCCTTTACCTTGGAGCGTTGGCTCGAATACAGAAAGAAATGCATACATATCACCTACACATCAGCCCTGGTTTGTTTGTTAGCGCGGTTCTTACAACCTCTTTCAACAGGGGAGAAAACACGGGATTCCGGACCTCCCATTGGTCCAAACCACCGCAAAACACGAACAACATTCGATCGTGTCCCGCACACATGCACCAAAACTTGACTCCATTCGCAGCGGGCAATAGCGAACCAGAAAATTCCCAGGTCAGAACTCCCGCCTAGCCAGCCTGAAAAGGTAAAAGAGCCTTCTGGAAGTCCCGCGCTAATAATTAAACTAGGGCTGATGTGTACAGCTACACTACAGTGTACCCTGATGCACAAACACCCTTTATCCACATGCAACCACTTGCATATATTGTTGAAGCGCAGCTGTTATGGTCTAGGGAAAGAAGTGTTTTCAACACGAAGTAAGCGAATATAGCGGAGCTTTTCTATAATAGGGTCGATACCTATGTAAATTCTTTGTACTATAATTGGTCCGTAGATTGGGCAATCCGTTCCTTAGATTAGTTAGAATTTTATAGTCCGTGCATACTATAGGGGTCCGGAGGTTTCCCCTGGGAATAGGGGGTCCCGGAGGGCTAACCCCCGGGTATTATTACCCTAACCCTCATACAGAGGGTCCCGGAGGGCTGGCCCCTTAGTATTATTACCCTAACCCTTATACGGGTAGTCCTGGGGGGCTAGCCCCCTAATTTAATCTACACATCTTTTCCTAAAATTCCTATTATTTATCAAAATCTACAAACCCGGCTTCGCTTTCGCACAAACGTTGTCGTCTCTCCCTAATTAAACATACCTTTTTTACAACCCTATTTACAAACTCTAAACAATCAATCCGTCGCATTCCCGAATTGGCCAATTAATAAATACCCGATAATTAGTCGCGCGTAGTCAATTTCATTTATATATAGGCGACTACCCCTAAACGATATTACTTTTAATAACCTACTTACTTTCAACTAATTTACTTTTAACTAATTTATTTCAATTATTTGTAATATATTATATAATAATATAATATCCTATAATATTAATTGATTTTAGCGTCTATAAAAATAATTTATAAATATAGTTTCGTCTTCTCTTCTTCCGCCGTTTAAGTAACGCCCTTAAAATAACAAGGAAGAAGAGTCCGAACTGCAACAATATAGGATTTATAGAAGAGACCTCCCCTTACCCGAATTTATTAGGAAGAGGAACCTAAACCAATTAGTCTAACAATATTTCGATTATTGTAATATTTAAGGAAGGCGTAAAACAAATTTATTCTAGGCTATAAATTTTATTTATAATCGTTCGGCTATAGTAGACCGGGACTTAGCCGCTCCTATACCCGGTATACTTATTACGCTAGCACTTATTCCGGAAACTTAAATTCTTATAGCGCCTATAATACGCCGTCTATAATCCTTAGCCCCTATAATTACTATTTTACTTTAATAATTAATATAGAATACTATTATTAATAGTTAACTACGTACGCCAAATCTACGTACGCCAGCTGCTTCCTTTTTATAGTAAAATATAAATTTATAAAATTCACTCCTTATTATAGAAGCCTAACGAACCCGTAAAATAATCCGTAAGGATTATCAACGCCGCCACTTCAACGACGAATAGGTTTCTCTCACGCTCTCCCTTCGGACATTACGTAACCTACTAGGCATTTCATCGTCCCTTAATATATTAGTATTGACCCCGGATAGTCCTAAAATAGGTATTAAAAATGGCTATTATAATAATAATAGTCCAGTTTACTTTAACTACTATAATTATAGCATTGCCCCTCCAAGGGACGTTAAATATCAAAGCCTAAACTTTATAAACTTTTATATCTACTACGTAAATCCGGCTCTCGAACTAAAAAAGGAATCCGGTATATTAATCCCTATACCCGAATTCGGTTATATATAATCGATTACCCTAATATTTTATATCCAAACTAATAATCGTTGTAAAATAGGTTTTTTTATCGACAATATAAGAGTAGGCAACGACGTAGAGAATTTATAAATGCTAATAGTAATAAAATAGTTCGATATTTAGGATACTTCTAAGACGATTAATATTAATACGAAGACAACGAAGATAATAACGGTTAAAGTAATACTAATTTAACCAATATTAGTAATAACTTTTTGCTATCGGATATTTTATTATCGTTTCCTTTTTCTTTGTCCTAAATATTAACGCCGTTGCGTCCCCGGGGTCCTCTTCTAGGGGTGCCTAAAGCGCTCGTACTAAATCCCGATCCCGAATTAAATCCCAATGCAATTTAACTGGAATTCGTTATCCCCTAACCCGAATTAGAAAATCCCGCTAATCGAAAATATATACTTCTTCTTAATCCTCCCTTTCAATCCTAATAATAGCGTCCCTCCTTTATAGCTAATTATAACCCCAACCTCTAATAAAAAGCAATTAAACTGGATAACAAGGTTTATATAGCTAAATTCAACGATATAATATTTACTATCTAATATAAGGACTACAATCTATATAAGAAAAGATAGCTAAATCTATAAGTTATACACAATATATACAAACATTATATTAATAAGCGTAAAAAAAAGAAACCCGGGGATATCCCCTATTATTCTATTAAGAATTTTATAAATTTTGGTAATATTAATCCCGGCTTACTAATATTTATATATATCGAAGAATAATTAATTGCCTGTGTCTATATTTATATTGATATTTATCTAATCTAGGGAACTTAATATCGGTACTAAAGCTATTATTAACTTTTTTCGAAATATTAGTAATAATATATAATTAGCTACCTCTTTTACCAGAAGAATTAAATATTATTATACTTCGCCCTTAGAATATAAACGACTAAGAATAAATATAACGGTAATTTCGTCGAAATTATTTCGTTAATAGACGTAATATATAAACTTAGATAAATTATTTAAAGGCCTACTACCCTAATTACCGGGATATTATCGTTAACCCTACCTGTCTTTTATAGCTTCCAGAATATAGTAATGTCTTTAATAGGTTAAATACTCAGGAAGTTAAAAAAAAGTATTAAAATTAATAAGGACGACAATGTTAATAATATTAAGGATAAGGAAATTACTGCTATACTAAACCTTATAGCTAACTAAGCCTAGTTTAATTAGTTTATAGACTAACTAAATAGCTAGAAACAAATACCGCGACTTAAATAACCCATTCTTCAATATATTAATTTTAGTCCTATTTATAGTCTAAACCCTACTCTAAGCGTTATTCCAACTACTCTAACTCCAACCGGTCCTCCAATTTTAACTAGTTCTTCAAATATTCCAGATCTTCTACTCTCCAATCCTAATCTTCTATCCAACCTACTATCCTTGAATCTAAAACCAAAACTAAAATTATAATAATTACATCGTAATAGATAGGGCTAAGTCTATAATTATATAAAAATACCGCCTTTTACCTAACCTACCTCCCTTAATAAATTCAACTAATTATAAAAATTACTCTTATAAGCGTTCCCTACCCTATACCCTCGAAAGTAAATAAACTTCGTAACCCAACGCCTATATAAAATATTTTACGGTAATTATATTAAGTACGCTATAAAATTGAAAAATAGGCATTTTACTCGCTACCTCCGGTTTCGATTTATCGCTTTTAATACCCTAATACGGAACTAAATTAACTAAAAAAGCTCTTTCTATATCCATCGTAACCCAAGCGAGGGTACTCTCCGCTTAGAAGAATTCCGAGTACCGTTTAAAGGCTGTATGAACTAGGCCGAATATATCTTTAAATTTATTATAAAGTATATAGATACCCTTCGTAATATTCGGCCGTACTAGGGTATTAAATAATAAACCCTTAAAATATATATTTATATGATCAATATACTATCCCTTTTTATAACCTTTACCCTGGTTAATTTGTATTAGAGGTCATTAACTAGACATATACCCCAATATAATAAGTAGCTGAATGGTAGCAAGCGCGAACGTAGGAAAATTATATAGGAAAATCTTCATAATAATCTAATAATCGGTATATAGTATTTTTAGAAGAAATATAAAGTATTCCGTAATAAAGTTTATATCCTAAAACTCTATATTATTAATTATTAGGACCGATATAAATAGTAAGCTCGTAATAATCCCTATAATTAAAGCCTATATTAGTTTAAAGGTATATTTATATTAGAGTTTGAAATATTAGAAGGTAAGGATGCCTTTACTATTTTCTAAGGAATCTACATTACAATTATAAATCCGGAGCCCTATAGACCGCTCCCTATAATTTAAATTGAGGGCGATATATTTACTACACGTATAGGCGAATATAAATAATTAACTTTCGCTATATTATTTTATATAACCAATTATATCTAGCGGTATTAATGCAATCCGGTATATTATCTATAGCGCCGCAAATTTCTAAACAGTTCAATAATTAAAGAACTAATATACCGCTTTAACTTTCCGCGTAACGTTTACAACCGGCTATATATTACTTATAAATT